TAGGAGTTTGCTGTAGTAGTCACCAGTAATTCAAGGGAGTTGACGCTTAAGCCGGTGCGGCCTCTACCACAAGCTCCTTTTTTTCGCCTAACTCCTGCTTATGTTGCTGCTCATTCTTGCGTCCTCCCTTCCTTTCGGCTCGACTTTCACTTGCTGGATCAAAGTATGCTAACAAAATAGTCAGTAACTTATATGTTGAATAGACGATTCGGACTGAATCCTCACGCTTCTCCCCGAACACGGTGGTTCTGATGCCTCTTCGAGGCGCATCATATGTCCCCGGGATCACTCGATGGATTGTGCATCTGGTCAAGTCAGCACTCACCTTTCGAAAACAAGACTCAGACTGACCTGTTGTCCCACATGGCTATAGAGCCTACTTCCCACTTCCATCGCACAGCATGGTCATCAGCTGAGTGAATATGATAGGCAAAGAAATCGAGGAGCTTGTCAGACTCATATTTCTTCAACTCTGCGAAGGCTGTCACAAAACCAGGATTGACATTCAGCGCCTTGAGACCAGAAACGGGATGGGTCCTGACAGCGGGGTGATGCGAATCAATGGGAGGACGGTTTGGACCAACGCCCCAAAGATCAAGAATCGTGTCATATTGCAGCCTCGAGGTGTGTACTGCGTGCAGCCCGTCGACAAACTTCTTCATGGCATCGCTGAGCGCATCATACAAACCGTACTGAGACACCCAGGCAGTGTCGCCCCCAACTTCAGGGTGCTCTTCCATGCGAAGCAAGGAATACGATGGAGGATTCACCTCGAACGAGGTATCGGCGTGGAAGTCTCCAGAGGGCCATGGTGTGTATTTAAGTATTTCTCGATGATCCTCGCGACTTCCTTTTATGATGACATGTTTGACGTCCTTCTGAGCCGGGTGCCGGTCGAGAGTTCCGTAATGCTCGAATAACTTCACCTGGCCTTCGGTAGTAAGGTCTTGATCTCGGAAGAAGACGACGCCTCGTTCCGTCACCAAGAGTGCCAACTCATCTAGTTGCTGAGGCGTAAGTTGCGACAGCTGAACATTTTCCAGGACAGTACCGATAGACTCAGTCAGATCCACTCGTTTGGCTGCAGAGAAGAGGGCCTTCTTGTCTGGGTCCGCGAAAAAAGCCCTGTCCTTGTCGGGAACTATCTGCTCTCTGACAGGCTCAGGGGGCACGTGGTCTTTGATCTTGGGATGAAAATGAGGATGAAGAGAGATGGGAAACCCGGAATCGGGCGAGATGTGCTTTCTGGATTCTAGATTTGCCATGGTTTGGGGAGTTCTATTGAACTTTTCGTCGCTCGACAGAGAATCTGCTGCTGCTCTTCGATAAGCAGACTGTTCTGCACCTTCTTATCATTGGCAATTTGATCACATCATCATGAAATCGGCATCATGTATTCCCGTGAGCACCATAACCATGATTATTGCGCAATTGATACTGCATATCACAGATGAGCGGATCAATCTCCTATTCGTGGGCGCGGAGGTCCGAGGTTGAACGCAAACATACTTAAGGGCTATGTCATCCCACGTCGGCGAGAGCCAGATTGACGATGTGAGTTATTCTTTGATACTGACCAAGAGTGCTACAAAGCAAAGGCATTGCTCGAAAGACATCATGCTCTATGCGGGACATCCAGGGTCCAGACTCTGAAGGATTCCTTCAGTCATGAACTCAGTCATTTCAGTCACAGCTCAGCGCAAATTCAGCGGATGGCACTGCAGGGCCGCTTAAGAATGACCTTAAGGTAAATGGATCAGCGGCAGAGCGGAACAACGTCGGACGGGTCATTCTTCTTGTACAATGAGCTTTCGGACTCTGCCCGACAGATGCCCAGACTGACAGGTAGGAGATTTGAAAATTCGGCATCTCCCAATAGTCAAGCATTTCCATTGGCTTTAAAGACAGTCGCAATCCCGACAACCGATTGCATCAGAGGGTTAGGTAAGCGAACTGCATGTTGTTGGTGTGTTTTGTGCGTGTAAGGTGGTGGTGGTCGATGGCGTGCGCGCTTCATCGGATGGCATCAACGGCAGTGGGCCGCGCCGGCCGGTCCAGTTCAGGCAAGTTTCCGGAGACGCACCCACCCAAAGTCGGCAAGTTGGCGACCCAACGCGTGGTCTCCTAGTCAGTTCTCCATGGAGATGCTGCTTTCATGGCTTCATTCCATGTCATTAGCACAGGAATTGGGGTTGAAAGTTGCACGTAGGTGGGACTTGAAGGTGGAACGCGGAACAGTGACGCGAGGTCTGGCCCGAGAAGCCGGATCGTAAGAGGGGCGACATGCAAGTCTTTTCCGTAACAGACTCTTTAAAAAGATTTCCATGTCAGTTGTGTCAGTAGAAGAAACTGCCAGAGTCCCTGTAAGGTTACTCCAAGCATTATTTGCTAGCAAGCCGATTCCAATATCGAAGCTCCAGGATCTTTGAATCGCTTCGCAATGGCTATCGTGGACGAGAAGCAAATCAAGACCGTGGCTGAAAGCCCGGAGAGCCAGAGCGATGGGGGCCACAGCGAGGTTGACTGGTCGCAGGAGGAGGAGCAGCGCCTGCTCCGAAAGTAAGTTTGCGCATCCAATTCTAAGCAGCTTTTACTAACCCGCTCGCTCTGCAGGGTCGACATCTTGATTATGCCTCTGCTGATTCTTGCTTTCTTCGCCCTGCAACTCGACCGCGGAAACATGTACGAAATTCGACCGTCACAAACTTGGAAATTTGAATTGACGAGGACGTAGGGGTAATGCTCTGACCGACTATTTCCTGAAGGATGTCGGAATCTCCCAAAACCAATTCAATGTTGGACAACAATTGCTGTCAGCGGGCATTGTTATCCTTGAGGTGAGTTTGAGAACTACATATACACGCCGAATCGGTCACAAGAGGTTGACAGTCGTATCCAGATCCCAAGCAACCTTGTGTTATATCGAGTAGGACCGACTCTTTGGATTGGTGGGCAGATCATTGCATGGTTGGCACTTACAGTCTTGGCACCACGTTTGACAACGCTAACTTGACCAATAGGGGCTTGGTCGCAACATTCCAAGCATTCCAGAAGGGTCTCGGTCCATTCATGGTATCTCGACTGCTTCTTGGGTATGCTTTGGTCTCCTCTCTGGTTTGATGAACTTCAGCTGACTCGTTGCAAAAGTCTCTGCGAAGCGGGATTTATTCCTGCTGCTCTGTACACCATGACCCGGTGGTACAAGAAGGAGGAGACTAGCAGGAGGTTCTCTTGGTTCTTCCTCGGCAATATGCTTGCTGCCGCATGTTCTGGTCTTATCGCCTATGGCATGTAAGTTAGCATCCACGTCGAAATCCACACTGACGATGTATCGTGTGACATACTGACAATTAACCGCAGTTTGCACATGAGAGGCGTCGCCAATCTGGCTGGATGGCAATGGCTTTTCTTGGTGAGGAACATCGAGTGCGATGCACAAGGGTAGACACTAATCGTGAACAGCTTGAGGGCATCTTCACTGTGCTCGTCGGTATCTGCTTTCTCGTTTTCTTCCCAAATCAAGTCAGCAATCCGGTGTCCCTGGCTGGACTGCGATACTTCAGCGAGCGGGAGGCGGAGATCCTCTACAAGAGAGTTATGCTTGACGATCCTTCCAAGGCGCACCCGAAGAAGTCCGTTAGTTGGCCGGAGTTGAGAGAAGCAGTATGTTCAATCGACTTTGACTGTCTATTCCGCCCAGTACTGACCAGTGTTAGTTGACAAACTGGAAACTGATACCCCACGTCATATTCACCATTGCCGCTTTGTCACCGTCATCGACTCTGAGCTCGTACGCACCTTCGTTAGTTGCTTCGATGGGATACGACAGACTGCAAGCCAATGCCATGGTTTCCATCGGCGCCTGGATTTTGATCCCAGTCAACCTGTTCTGGGGCTGGATTGCGTACGTTCCATCATGACATTGCGCCAAGCTCCGTTGATAAATGACAAACGAAACTGACTTGCCCTCACAGCGATAAAACAAGAGTGCGCGGGCCATGGGTGTTCCTGGGACTGCTGATCTTCTGGGGCTTCAACGTGAGTCGAACGCGTCATGTGTTCTTGGCTTGGCAAAATGGAACTGACAATGCGTAGCTTGGCAACCTGTTGCTGATTGACTCTGATCGCACAAAGAGATTTACCATGTTGACTCTTTCGGTGGCATTTTCGTTCCCTTGGCGTAAGTCTACACATCTCCGAAATAAGCTTGGTGATCATGCGTCTGACACAGCTTGATTAGACCCCGTCAATGGCGCCTGGGTTTCGATGAACGCCAAGTCTGCTGGCGAACGTTCAATCACGATGGCCATTTTAATCATGGCTGCGAACTGCTCTGGCATTGTGGGTAAGCAGTTGTTCCGGGAGGGCGATGGACCCAAGTACCGCCAGGGCTGGACTGTCATCACGGGCCTGGTGACTGCCGCAGTTGCTTGCGGCATCTGGGCCAACGTGCAGTATTACATCTTGAACAAGCGTAGACTGAGCCGGACCGGTCTGTCTTATCAGTACTAAATATGGAGGCGAGGTTGTGGGGCGGCGAGAGTCAGCAGGAACACCATCGACGATGCGCAAGAATGCTCGGCCGCAGAGATGGCTTCCAAGATATTAGAGCTGAAGTCTGAATATGGGCCAAGCGTGCAGCTAATGAAGACGCTGCACTTGGCGAAGAAGAATGATGATAGTGAGGACTCGCAACAGTCCATTTGTTTACATGGGACTTTCTTCGGGCAAACCTGTGGATGCTTCTGTTGCCGGGACCGGGCATGTAACCTCCGCAAAGTCCCCGATGACACCTGAATCATGGCGACCTGCCAAACGGGCGCAGGATAGGAGGATCTACGCCCTACAGCTGTCATGACTTGGCGCTCCCTGACAGGAGAAGGCATTCAGCCACGCAAGCTGAAGAACGGAACAAGACCTGAGACTGAGCCACATTAGAATTCAGGTAGACCATCGTTCATGTGGTATGTGCCCATTTCATGCGGGTGACTCTCTTCAGTTCACTGTTCAATAATGCCTATCAAGTTTTCTCTACTTGTCATGGGCTCTGGCCTCCAGGCCGCGCCCTGCGTTTGGTTTTGAATGTCCGTATCCATCGCTCGCAATACCTCCCTGTAGTGGTCGGCCATCGTCTCAGGATAGTCGGCGAGGTCCGGCACGGTCCATTGATCATAGCATGCCCCGTGCGTGTTGGCCGCGAAGTAGGTGCCGTGATGTCGGATGAACAGGAAGCAAAGGTAGCAAAAGTACTTGGAAGCGCCGAGGCATCTCGGGCGGTGCCAAGGAGAACCACCAGGCTGCGGCCGATGGAGCTCGAGGTCGTGATGGACGCTGAGGATGACCTCTGCGTGGACGTGAGTCGACTTGGCCCACGGCTGGAAGGCGAGGGTGGTGATGGGCACAGCCTCGTATGGCAGCAGGAAGAGAAGGTCCACGTCGTGGAAAAGCTTGGCGTGAGATTGAGACAACCCTGTCAGGCTTAGACAGATGCGGTAGTAGGCTGCGATCTTTTCAATCTGGCGCAAAGTTTTGAGGCAGGCTTGGATTTGCGTTGTCGCTCTGACCGCCTGCAGGCGTTGGAGATAATCTGCGACCAGGGATGAGGTGCAAAGTTGGTAGCTAGACCGCACAATGACGACCAGCGCCTCGTGGTCGTTGTCTGGCGGTGTCGTCTCAAAGGCTTCAAGGAGTGCCGCAAGAGCCAAGAGTTCTTTCTCCAGCTGCGCCCGCTTGTGGGCCTCCTTTTTGGCATAGAGGAACTGGGCGCGATGGACCAGATTGGCGAAGTCGGCATGCAGGGCCTTCTTGTGGGTGCGGGAGAGGTAGGTTGGCTTCTCCCACTTGCATGAGCGCAGACGGTTGAGCAGGCGAGTTTGATGATGCCGAGTTACTTGGTCCACGAGACTATGTAGTGTCTTGGCAGACGGCTCGGCAGATACGGTAGACAACCTCTGGAAAATGGCGCGGAGAAATGCCTGTGAATCGGGCTCGATGGCGTCAACCGAGGCGATGGTGACCCGGAGTCCCTTTCCTTGAGGACGTCGACTTTCCTGCACGGTGGTTGCAGCGACAGACTGCGCCCCTTCGCCGATGGCGATGAGGTAGGCGATGTCATCAGCTAGACGCTGTTCCGCAGCGAGGGACAGTTGGCGGGGATGAGGTTGTTGGGAGACGCTGTCGGGGTTTCGGCCGACGACGTCCGCCCCTGCGACGCCTGTATCCGCATCTGCATCTCCGTCTGGGTTCGCATGGTCTGCCGCTGGATCAGATTGCGGAGGCAGGGGAAAAGTTTGCGCATCCACAGGCACCGAGTTGGTCAGTTTCTCGAGTTCGACGACATGTTGGCGGAAATCAGCCTCTGGTAAATGTTTCCAGATGGAGTCCGCGGGGGACGCGGTGTTGGTAGGTTGGGCGCGCGGCTTCGCAGATGAAGTGGAAGAAGTTGTCGGCAACGCCTGGGCGAGGCCGGACAGAGACAGCGACATGGATTGAGGACTGAAATTGTCACTGTCACTGTCACCGCGAGGGGTGGGTGGGTGGAAGGGAAAGGCAACGGCCAAAGCGAAAGTCCGCCGAGTAAGACGTGGTAGCGGAGAAAGATGAATCGGAAAATGGAATTGTTCTCGAGGGTTCCACGGCATCAAGGAGACGCCACCCAATCAGGTGAGCGGAAAAGGGAGTGCGAGTGCTGAATTTAGGGGCGCCAAGAGAAAACGTTAACGCGGCAGCAGGCCCCTACGGCGGGAATGACTAACCACCTCACCCTAGGTACCTTAAGGTAAGTAGGTAGGGTAGGTAGGTGAATGAAGGGGACCATATGGCAGGAAAAGCAGTTTTCTTTCTGGAGACATCCTTGACAGCTAGTTTACTTTACTCTGCAGTCTGCCACTATGCCGCTGTATCCAATGACGATGTAGGTGATACAGACCAGTGTGACGGCTCAAGTCCAGAGTCCGACCGTCGGCAGCGGAGCAGATGGAACACGACAGATGACGGGCGAGTGATATGCCGGTTCCATGGTGTCGGGAGGACTAGACCTAGCAGCCTACCTACTGCATAGTACAAGTAGTAAGAACTGTTAGAGTCTACAGCCGCAGAACGTCCAAGCCACTAGGCGGAACAACGGCGGCGCCAGACTGGAACCAGCAGGTCGGTCGCACCCCACGATGAACAGCCCTGGAAGCCTTGGACGAGAGTCTTGGACGTTTCTTGGAAATTTGGAGGAAACGCCGCACCTATATCTGCCAAGCCATGTTTGCCAAGAAGACGACGTTGAACTCTTGCCAAGACAGCAGCCTCATGCCTCGTGCCTAATGCCTACCTTCACCCAAGGTAATACCTGTGAACGAACGGTGACTGACTGCCTGCCCTGGGCCGGGCTCATTAGCTCTCACTTGGCCACTGTAAGATGGTCACGGAGTAGCCCGAGTGTCCCTTGCCTTGCCTACCTCGTAAGGTCAAGTCCCTACATACCCACCTTACCTTACCTACATGACCTAACAACGCCTCAAGCATCGGCATCGTCTAGACTCTTACGGGTTACAGCGGTCCAGTGCAGTGGTTAGGCCTTGAGTGTGTCTTGCTCTTAGGTAGGGAGCTTAGCGTATGGATCCGTACAGTCGCAGGCCAACGTGGCTGTGTGCCAGAATAGTGAGCGCACTGACGAGCGACCCCTGGAAGCTTACCTTACCAAGGGCTTGGCTTCTGAACCTGCTCATCTCTTGACCCTCTGTAGGCCCTCTTCGATCCTCCTTAGGGCCACCGGTGGACCCCGTAGGCTCCAATCAGACGCCTCAGCGCGCGCTGGCGGCATAGCCATTCTGGGCCCTAAACTTTATCTCGACCAGCATCAACCACGGAGGCTTCAGTTTATCTGCTGCTTTATTCGTACTGCCCGTCTCCAGAGTCGGTCGAGACGAGGCCTCACCTTACGCGGGGCCTTTTCCCCGCCCTCTGTCCCTCTTCTCTCCTCTGTCCGCCTGTCTCGCACACAATTCATCTCTCTCTACCAATACCAGACGTGGTTAGACAACCGCGTCTCCCCGTCTGGAGACCCCGGAGCCCTGTCCCTTGTTCTTGGCCTCACCGTCGTCGCGTAGCTAGCTATCCGTACGGTATGGTACGGAGTAGGCAATGACCGTGCAAATTTCGCCTGCCCTCTTCTCCAGTACAGTAATACAGTTCATCCCTGGCCGTCTCAACACTCATAACCCCTTGGTCTTGGAACTTGCCTTTCCCACAGCCTTTAGGCATTGCCCTACGCACCTAGGGCGTGCTCTGTTCGCATATCCGCCGTGCTGAGTTCGGACGGACGGTTTTAGCCAGGAACAATCGCCCGGCTTCATCCCAGACAAGCGGCTATTCTTGACAGCGTTGACAGAGATTGATGAATGTGCCTCCCAGAGCCACGAGTCAGCCGCGTGCTGACCCGCGGTGTCGGCGCCGACAAACTGGGTCAACGGCCATCACTGGACGAATGAATTGCTGCTCATGTTCGTCCATGGATATCGGCCGATCAGAGAGCCTTGGCCTTTTGCTGACAGACAGACAGACAGACAGACAGCCACCCGGGAAGTGGAAGCGGTTCCCTTCGCACACCACGGGAACGCTGTCAATGTAAAAAACCTGCATCCACTGGCATAGCGACGCACTCCCGCCAAGCGCTCGCCAAATTGACTTTTTGATGACAACCTGATTTGGGAAGCCCTTCCGCGGCCCTTCCACAGGCGCTTCCTTTCAGGGGTGATTGCTTCTACTGTTGCCAGCACCGCGCTTCGTTCTCGTGATGTGTTTCCCAAGTCCTGACTCTCCCCCCTGCCCTCCGCGCCCCTGGTCCCGTCCGCGATTGATCATTGCCAAGCACGTGGCCGCGGAGAGGTCATCGCACTCGTGCTCGAGCCGCGGACCGGCAGAGTGCTTGCAGGAAGGTCCAAAGGGGGCTTGGTGTTTTGGTGTTTTGACCAGGCAAACCTGCCAAGACGTTGACTTTTACCAAGATAGTCCTCATCATTACTCCACGAAATTAATATCGCGTCGTCAAGTCATAGCTTTCCGGACCCCACGATCGACTGCTACTCTGCAGTGCCGGTGTATATTTACCTCTAGATCTTTCCGCCCCTTCGGTCTGTTGTTTCATCGAGCCACCCACAACTCAACTCATCGAGCCCAGTCACTCTTTTTTCCCACTTGCACCTCACGATCTTTCTCTGTTTTCGTCGCAATGAAGGCCACCGCTATTTTCTCTCTCATCCCCGCCGTCTCGGCCTTCTGCCATCATGGCACCAGCCTCTTCAAGAGAGCCGAGGGCACCTACGGTTTCGATGCCATGAACGGTCCTCTCAACTGGCACTCCCTCACCGCCGACAACGCTGCCTGCGCCCTCGGCAAGAACCAGTCCCCCATCAACGTTCTCGAGACGAATACCAAGCAGGTTCAGGGTTCCTCCATCATCTTTAGGCCCGCAAACTACGCCGATGGAGCTGAGCTGGAGAACCTGAACGGCGTCCTCGAGGTCCGCGCCAACGGGACCATGTACAACGGCGGCAAGAACTACACTCTCCGCCAGTTCCACTTCCACACCCCGAGCGAGCACCGCCTCAACGGCGAGCACTACCCTCTCGAGGTTCACTTTGTCTGGGAATCTGAGGCCGGTAACGGTAAGTTTGGAAAACATGGGAAAGTGGCTTGTTTCGGTTGCTGATCAGAATTAGGCACTTCATCTCTTGCCGTTGTTGGCTTCCTGATCGAGGTCGCCGAGACCACCGATCCCATCCTTGCTTCCATCTTCAAGAACGTGGACAAGGTCACCGCCGTTGGAGCTCACGCTGCTACCGATCCTTTGGACTTCACCTCCTTGTCCAGCCATCTTGCCAAGAGCACCATCTACCAGTATGTCCAGACCTCACACACCAAACCTCTGACATCGAATCGCATGCTAACCTCGTAAAGGTACTCCGGATCCCTCACCACTCCTCCTTGCACTGAGTCTATCGCCTGGAATGTTGTTGGAACCCCCCTCAACATTGACATCACTACCTACAAGAAGGCCAAGGGCATCATGAAGTTCAACTCTCGCTACACTCAGAACACCCCTGGCCAGATGAACCTGTTGGAGAACGCCATGGTTAGCCTGCAAAAGATTGTTGGCGATCAAGGTACGAACTAGATTTACTAGATATCTTTGTAATTGAACTTTTGTTGTTTTTGTGCAAACTTTGGAACAACGGAAACCAGCCAACCAAAGGCTTGAAGGCGTGATGTTCGAATCGCCGTCTGTTGCTCTAAAAGACTAGGCAATGCCAAGTGAGACATCTCAGTCGCTAAACATGGATCAGAAGCTGAAGACGCCGATCAACTTCCTGAGCGTCCGTGCAAGAAGGGCAAGAAGCACGACCACGATCGCCAAGACTAAACGGTTTGATAGAAAAAAACCTGACCCCCGAAACCGCTAAAGTAATGCGACGTGACCTGTCAATTGCGCGGTTGGCCAACGCTGTGAGTCTGTCCAATGGCACATGGCTCCATTTAATACCTTGTCGATCGTCATGATGGTGTTGCCTTCAAATGGCCACGGGCGTCTTTTTCTTTTTTATCAGAAGTAATTTTTTTTCTTCTTTTTGCTTTGGCACTTGTACATATATTTTTCATGTAAATTCTCATCCACTGAAAAATTCCTAACCTCGTTACTTTTGAATTACTCCAACTTCTGCGCAACAGCATCCATGCATCCCTTGAACATCTCGTCCAAAATGCCCGCCAAAACGGGCTTAAAGCTCGGGTCCGTCCAGTCTGAAGCCCCGGTCCAACTGAATTCCGTCTTGTCCCCCTCAATTCCAGTAAGTCGTAACGTTCCTCTGGGGTTCGTTGTGTTCGGGACGCCGTCTAGGATGAGATAGCGAATGGTATGTGTTTCGGGGTCCGCCACCTCCAGACGCTCATGGACGACGGTGCCGTTATCGAATGTAAGAGTACGGACGGCTCCGATACCGAACCCGTCCAGGCTTGACTTGACCACGCCGGGGAACCAGAGTCTCTCCGATCCGAACGCGGAGATGATTGCCCACACTTCCGAGACAGGAGCCTCGATGACTCGGACAACCTCGTGCGTCTTTTCCATCTCCATGGCGTCGGAAAGTGCGGAAAAGATGGGCAGTATTTAATTGGCAGGTTCTGAGAAAGTAAGGGGGGTAAAGTAGGTGTGGTTGATAGGAGATTAGGGAACATCGATGTTTGCCGCGAGTTAAATATCACCTGCTGGTAAGCATTATTCAGCGTTGTCCGAACGCCGGTGGGATGCCGCAGTGGGATCCGACAATAGTGACGTCCGCGGGTTGCGGTCAAGAAGGCCCGTTCTCTGTGCAATTTCAGGTCAATAACAAAGCTGCACGTCTAGACCGACCCGCGAGCCTAAAAGTAGGACCCGTGGCAACAGAAAATCAAATATTTGTTTGCTCGAGGCCGAAGCTTTTTTCCCGAAAGCCTGCACGTCTAGAAACTCACGGGTTGAATGTATTGTATGTGTTGCTTTGATGTAGAGAATTCCAACGGGTTGTAAGTGTTTAATGAACTGAATTGTAACAATAAAAGAAGTATGAATTTGAACGATGCCAATTCAACGTTTCATTTGGGCTTTCCATAGTTTGCATACTTCTTGGAGAGACCCAGTCTGACACCCTCTTTAGTGGCCTTGTCAAGATCCTCGTCAGGCAACCCAAGCACATCGTTGGCCAAGCCACTTGTGCTCGACATCGCCATCATTCGAGGGAAAGAAGATGCGGGTGTACATCAACCTTGAAAAGCCAGTCCTATCCCCACTCTTCAGCGCCTCATGGCCAGCCTTCCACCGCTCCTGCGTGTTCTCATGTGTGATAGTCCAGTCACTATCCGATGTTCCCGTGACACGCTTGACGCTCTCGAACATATCACGCTGGGACACCAAAAAGCTGGAGATATAGAACACCTCGTTAGCACGCTGTTGGATACAGGGAGACTTGTCGTCTTCGTTCTCAGGCAACAACTTGAGACTGAGAAACGCTGCAAGGCCGCGGCCGCACTGGGACCATGTCGAGGTGTTGATCTTGATATTGCCATCGTCAAAGAGAATCAGAGACTTGTTCTTCATGTCAAAGCCGTACTGGTCAGATGAAAGACCCAAGCTGTACTCGTACCAGAAGCCTGGGGACATGATGATCCAATCACTGACGCCAAGCTCTTCAATGTCTTTCACCGCCTGCTCGAACGCGTGACCCAGGAGACTGTCTTTCATAAAGGAAGTGTTCTGCGGATCTGGGCACCAAGCATTCGGCATTACGTATGGAACACCGGCCTTAGCTGCGGCTCTGACGAGTTTGCCCTGAGTGTCCTGAGGAGCGCTGACGTTCATGGTAATGATGAGGTATTGTTGTCCCTTGAGTGCTTCGACGATAGAGTCCTCGTCATCGTAGTTCACCTTGGCTGCGATGACACCCTCGGGGAGTTTCGAATCGCTGTTGCAACGGGTGATGGCGGTTATTGTGTGCTTTCCGCCTTTGAGCAGCTCCTCGGTAAAGAATTTGCCCATGGTACCGGTAGCCTGCGTAGCGATCAGTCCGACTGTGATGAAGTGATAAATTCTATGAAGCAGAACTTACGCCAACAACCGCAACCTTCTCAATGCGGTTGATGAAGCCGGATGGCTGATCATTGGCGTATTTGGCGATTCTAGGAGCCATTGCGGTTAGGCTACTTTAGTTTGTGCGTCTACAACGAACTTGCTCAACTGATGAATGGGCAGAAGACTTAGATTATTACTGCGAGTGAAGATAATAGAGAAAAGCGAACCATCGTTTAAATAAATGTGAAGTTCCATTGGTGGGCTTCGGGTTCAGGCAGGCTCGTGGGGATCGAAAATTGTTAACTCCGAACACCTGGCTGCTTCGGCAAGTCTGAAAGTGGCATCAATGCAATTCGAGATCCAGTCCGATTACCCGTAGGTACGTCCAGCAAAGCCGTAAATACGCGCTTTGGTTAGACTGAAAGTTCCTGTGCAAGAATGGCCTCAATGACATGCAAGTTTCCACAGCGCTAGCCATCCTGCTTGTGAATTCCTGCTAATGTTTTCGACCGACAGCACGATTTTGGTAACGTTGCCAGCCACCTACGATGTGAGGTATTCGGACTTAGGTCCTCGAATGCAGAAAGCCGTAATACAACACAGCTCTTGTTTTGTTTTGTCTCAAGTCTGCAGCATCTCAGCTTGCCCCCTCAATGACGGTGTGTTTTCTTTGGCCTCCATCAGTAAGACTAACACCGGAACGTCGGAGGTGCGACTTTCCTAAACAGGAAGCTTGCCACTCCTCACTTCCATTTCTCGGATTTTGCATCCGAGCGGCCCACGCAGCTGGGCAGGCCACATGGGGCATGCGAAAACTCCAGCGATGTGCCTAGCCCCGGAGATAACTATGTCTTTCTATGCTCCGCCGACTAGTAGATCTTAGCACACAGGCTAAGATTTCGGTGCAACTTTTGTCCTCGAGTGTCCGGCCCGTCGAGCACAGTTTCAACCGGCAAAGACCAACGGATATGGTGAAGCCACTCGCCGGAAGGCACCCACATGATTCTCTCAATCACTAACAAGGCAAATATCACACTAGTGCGCAATCTCAAGAGTAGACTTTCGGGTGTCGGGCACTACTTGATTAGTCTTGGTCGCAAAAGCCCACCTTGAGGCCCGAAAGGGTGAGCATCCCACTTCCCGCACCGCACGGACGTTAGAGTGCCTGCGGGCCTCAGCCTTAGGTAACTGCGTTATATAAGCTACGTGGTCTAAAAAAGAGACTTTTTAAGACTAATTAATAGGGTACTTATGGCTATACTACTGTGAATCCTCCTACGCTTAATACTACTATATCTTAACTAATAAGGCTATCTACTATACTAATATTACTAGTCTCTCTATTAACGTAATATCTAAAGCTTAATATAAAGTATTATTATCAATTACTATTAATATAGCTTTAAAGGTTTACTATGTATAAGTAGTATATAATTTGTTTATTATTAAACTTCTTAGAAATTATATATAGCGTAATAAACTAAATTAAATTTTTTAATAATAGTTTATTTTACTATTTATTAAGATTAGCTTATTTATTCTCTTAAAACTAATATCTCTCTTAATAAAATATATATAAAAGCGAGGATATTATTAGAAATTAGGATTATATAGATAGTTAGTTATAGCTATCTCTACATTATAAATATTAGTAAAGTTATATTAAGCTATCTTAGAAGAGATTAATAAGGATATTATTATAAAGGGGTTAACATAGTATTAGAATCTCTACTAGCTTAGCTAGTTTTATAGCTATATTAATCCTTACTTTTAAGGTAATCTATAACCCTAAGAGATGAGGCTAAATAGTAGTATATCTATTAATACCTTAAAGCTTATGAGTAAAAAAAAAAAAAAATCTCTTTCTAGAACACTAAAAAACTAGGTAATAAAACTAAAGCACGGACGTTGGAGAATTTGGATGAGTACCTTGTTAAGTACTCTTATCTCGGATAAAGTTTAACGAAAGGTGAGGCTTCAAAATGCTCAATACTCTTCCTCGAGTTACCTAAATTCATCTGAAGAACACCTGTTCTAGTTGTCGGTGCATCAAGTCTAGCTGCGAAGCAATCACGCAAATGAGAATTTCAACGCGCGCCATAAAGGTACAGCAATTTCTTTTGTACACTTCCACCGAGTACCGTGCTCTTGTGGGTGGGAATAGATATTTACAATGAAGTAGACAACCATGTACAGAGAGTTTTCGGGCCCAAAAATAACGTCACGTTTATTCTGTGAGGTTGTCCTTCTCAATGGTGATTGAGTCAATTGTCCAGGTGATTCCGTTATCCTTAGTCTGCCATTCAGTGTGAGTTGCGTTGGTGTACGACACGATGTCACCGATGTTCTGAACGGCCTTGTTGAAGACCAAGGTGATGTTGTTGTATGCGTACGCATCAAGGGTACCGCAGCCATCGCCGTAGCACTCGTTGCCGGAGTAGAACACGGCAGGCCTCATGCCCTTGGCTATGAAACGAGGTTAGGATGATTTCTCGTATCTATTCGGCTTCGAATATCAACTTACAATCGGACTCCGAAGAGAGTAGCTTTCCCTTGGACCAGACCTTCTGGTCGATCATGTCGGTAGAGGAGTTAAGAGATACTACAATCGAGTTAGCCGGTGCGTTCTGTGTATATCGAATGAATACAGATGCAACTGACTCTCAAAGTCCAAGGTTGCGTTTTCGTCAACCTCAACGTACGGCTGGCCGATTTGCCCGTCGGGAGTGTAAGTGCTGGCAGCGACACACCATTGGGTGTTAGGAGCGCTGCAGCCCCATGCGGTGTTGTCAGGACCCCAGTTGAGCAAGGGTTGGACGAAGTTCATCTTCAGAACATCGCCGTTGTTCGGGTTGTCCTGGACACCGATCCACAGTGAGAGCCAGCGCTCATTCTCATTGCTCTTGACCCAGTCCTTCGGAGGAGTAGGAACCTCCATGGAATAGGTAGCCTTCGTAATGTACTGGCCGCCCGTCGTAGGGCCAAGATAGAACATGTTGCCATACTCGTAGTTGGGGTAGATGTCGGCATTGGCTCCCAGAGCCAGGGCGGCAGCAGCGGCAAGAACGGAATTGCGCATCTTGAAAAAGTTTCGAGTTGAAAGTAAAACGAGCGACGAGAGATCCTGTCCCTGTGGTTGGTTGTAGTTGGTGGTTGAAAGAGTGTGTGAGGTCGGCCAAGGAGCTAGTGCAGATCGCCAAGTGCTTGAGATGCTTATATATGCTTCGAAGATTATGGGTTCATTTTAGTTGACACTGACCCCTGGTTGAAACAGCGCTTCGTAGAGGTGGATGAAGACTCTCGTGGGCCGATCTAGCCCACGGAGAAATTAATCCAACCCACCCGGTTAGTGCGGCATCCAACCGAGCAGCTGGATGCAACAGAAAGATGAGGAACGGCGCCAATCAATTTCTTTTCAAGGGGTAAAAAATGGGACGAACGCGTCAATCTTGGTACTGGAATGGGAAAGAAGAATGATACCAACTAATGGGTTCAATCGCATCAGTCCATCTTCGCCTAGAGCCAGTGTCTGACAAAGAGGTTGAAAAAAATGGCTCCCCCTAACACGGCGATGATGAAAATTGGAATACGAAAATTGAAGGATTCTCAATTACGACTGGAAGCACGGCTGCCCGAGCGAAAACTTTCTGGAGCACTATTCGCGATGTGGCCCCTAAACCACGGTAAGTGAAGTCATGGCGTTCAGGGCATGATGACTATCTCGCCCGGTTCTCTTTTCTCCTCTGCGGCATCCCACGCTTGTTCCCAATCCTCCAGCCGAAACTTATGAACTGGCCCCATGCCGGCCTTTCTCCCAAGGGGGAGAACTCCGGTTTCTACCATTTTGATGAGCCTTTCGGTCTGCTCCGGAGTGCACATCCACGTTCCCTTGATGGTAAGTCCACGGCCTAGAATGTCCATGTAGCCAAAGTTAATACCGGATAAAACGCTGCCCTCCAAGTTGACTTTAGCGCCGTGCCTGAGAACGTTCATGCAACTGGTAAAATGAGAAGAAGTGGCTGCGCCAGATGGAGACATGTCCCAAAAGGCGTCAGCTGACCCCCGACAAGCCTTACGGAGCATCTGAGTGTCCTGCTCGACGACATTGGTGAGTTTGACAGTGGAGACGCGAGCGTTGATGGACACAATTTGCTCGAGAACTGGCTCATTGCGCCCGATGGCAATGACGTGTGCGCCCATAGCGAGGGCGAGGTGGACAGCTGCACTCCCATACCTCCCTGTCGCCGGGGCGACAATGACAGTATCTCCAGATTTGACATCGATGTCCGCAAGACCGCCGAATGGGACGAGCATACTGAAGAGATGTGTCAAGTCTTCCATTGTGTACCCAAGCCCATCTTGATCAATACTGCCCAAAAGCCTCTCTTCGTTTAACGGGCGGCAATAGTCGGCATACGTAGAGTTACGCCACTCTCCTCGGGACAGCTTTCGACTGCCCTCGTCAAACCCTTCCATCATTCCGGAGATCCATATTCCACCACGGTCCCGGGCCTGTATGTATGGATCAAAGAAGACCAATTGCCCGTGTTTCAGTCTTGTTGCGTCGGGTCCGATGTCGATAATTCTGCCGATGGACGCAAATCCAGGGGTGTAGGGAAATGGCAAAGGATGTCCGCTGCTCGGGTTTCGATACACATTCGGAGAGTTGGCTCTGACGGAGACAGTTATGACTTTTATGACTGCATCTCCTGCGTTTGCAGCTGGCTTCTCGCGTATTTCAAAAATTGCGTCCTGTCCCGCCCCGGGAAGAACAACAGCTCGATTTGTAGTGGTGTTTTCTGAAGACATGTTGAATACAGAAGTCAAATTACATGTACAACAGATGACAAAGATACTATAGCAACTGCTTCCCGTTTTGTAGTACGGTCTGTTGACTTCGTACTCGTAACCGGACTGTTGACGGAATTTTAAGCGGAAACTACGGGAACTGTTTTATGGCCTTACTTAGTCTAGCTCATTGCGGAAATCTGAAAAGCGCGTGTCTTGATTCCCGTACAGGCTTGCCAAGTCTCGAAACACCCGCTTTGGAAAGGAAAGAAGACCACGAATTAGCCAGCTAAGCGGAGTTTTTTGTGGTTGCGGACTTGCAATTAGTAATTCACAAACTCCGCAGCCCTGCTTCCATAAAGTTGTACTCAAGGATGCAAATTCATCGGCCATTGCGTTGAATGCAAAATGCTCGCCAAAGGGCCTAGAAAATCTTTCGTGTTGTGCATGTGGGCTTTTTTCTAATTCCTGGTGTCTCGAGCGGGATTGTTCAGAGCTCCTCATTTAATTTAGCAAAATACTTCCGATGTTGTAAGCATGATGAAGCAGGTTGAACTCCCGACAATACATACGAAAACCGACCTGATCTGCTTATGCGATGGTCGTAGTCTTCAACTTGATATTCATAACGACAACAGATACTGCCTGCCTTTCTGGCTGTTTTCTTTCCCGTTTCGTTTTCCTTTCTTTTGGCTGAGAAGTAATCGAAGAGGCTGGGTGCGGACTATATAAAGACCTTCGAAGAATTTTTCGTACATATATTACTTACGGAAAGAAACGTCTAAGAAAATGCAAGAAATCAATAGTTTGAGGTTGCTTTAGTTTGTGATGATTGCTGTAAGCTACTACCTTAAGTAACTAATACCCCACACCCCCTAATCAGCCTAATTCGGACGCTTTTTAGGCTTAATTAAATAACCTTAAATTGATCGTTTTGTAGTAAAATGCTATAAAAGTTAAAACTCTATATATATTAACTCTATTATAACTTTAGTTATTATTTAGGTACTTAAATACTTCTTTTCTAGATCTTACTACTTCTTCTAAAGCTTTTATTTTATAGCTATAATATTAAGTATCTTAACAAAACGTTTATTCTTATTAACCTTAATATTGGCTTTTTTAATAGGCTAAATCTATTTAATATAAAAGTATAGAGTAAGTATCTCTTTATTATCTTATACTTTAGTAATATCATTTTTATTAAGGTATTTACTAATTTTCTTAAATATAAGTTTATATATAATATTGTTAAAACTAGCTTCCTCTACCTCTATAGTCTATATAAACTTAAACTTCTTTAGATCTTTAGATTTTATAAGAGTATTAATAGTTAAAGTTTAAAGTATTAGAAGATCTTTTAGCTACTTCTTATAAAGTAGAGGGAACCTCTAAACATCTATAGGTGCTAATCTATCTAAAAAGAGGCTATTAAGAGCTTTCTACTAGTTAATAAGCTATGTAACTATAGATTTAAAACTAGCTTTAATAATCTAAAACTTTAAAGCTATCCCTCTTACATATATAAGAGGCTAGCCCTTAGTTTATTCAACTTAAGGGTACCTTAATTATAGTAATCTAAGCTAAAAGAGAGAGGTTTTTAAGAAGTCCTTTATATAGAAGAAAAATAGATATAAGGTAGTATTAAGTAAGTATAATTACTAAGAGTAGAATTCTTCTAAGTTTGTAATACTATCTAGACGTTAATAATAAGTGTAGCTTATAATATATACCTCCTCTTTCTAGCCCTTATATAAGTATAGGTTTAATATAAACTAAAAGTAGTTAGTATAACCTAGAAATAAAGCTAGTATTATAATAATCTAAGCTACTAACTACTTTACACCTTATAAATAAATAACATAATAATAGGATTTTTTATACTTAGTTTACTTCTTATTTTTCCTACTAACTTATATAACGTGGTTCATCAGTCAGCCAGCTGGACCAGTCAGCCGGACGTTTTTTTTCCACGTACACAACAACATCTAGTATTTCTCAACCATAACGTATTAAATTAACTATTAGTTGTTGCTATCAGAATCTCCTGAGGGTTCGACATCTTTGGAACAGGTTTGCGCGTTATGCCCAGTCCCACCACATATACTACAGCGTCTCTAAGCTGGCTGGGCTCTCTTTGATGGACCCCCCTCGTCGTCCTCTTGAGGTGCTGGACGTTTCCCTTTTGTTTCCCTTCAAGCAAAACCTGAGATTCCTCTATACTAAGTACCCCTCTAAGCTGTACCTGCGTTCTTTTAGCCCTCTAATGCTTAATAAGTGCTATATTTATATTCTTAAAGATATAAAGCTAATTAGTTAAGATAGTGATTAAGTATGTTATTACTTATATACCTTTTGATAATTACTTAACTGCAGTAATAATTAGTGTTAATAAGCTTTTTTAATAAGCAGAGATATAACTTTTAATAAAGTTAGACTGTGAGATAGTTTGTTATAGGTTAAAAGGTATTTATAACTGCTAAGGTAGTAATATTAAAAGGTTAGCTATAAGAGGTGTAGGTATCTATAAATATATATTAAGCTTTTTAATAATATAGTATAGGTCTTATAGTGAAATTCTAATGCTTTAGAAAGCAGACCTAATGTTTTCCTTATTAAAAACCTTATTATAGGCTTAGTAGAAGGTAATAAAAAACTTAGATTTAGTGATATGATTTATAGAGGCTCTAATAAATAAGTTGATTTTATTACTGTATATATGTTTTAAAGGTGAATAAAGGGTAATATCTAATAGCTATAATAGATATAATAAATATATAGGTATATTAATAGTTATAATATTATTCTGCTTATAATAATTATTAAATTTAGCTGATAAATAGCTTTTATAGCTGTTAATAATAAGTATCTAGTAGATATTTTTTACTTAGTTCTTAGTATGTTTATTAAAATATTTAATCTAATTAAGACCTATGTAATTATCTATCTATCTATTAGTAGTAGGTTTAATCACTTAGTTACTTAGAAAACCTAATTCTATAGTCTAACTAATAAGGTGATATATATCTTTAATAATTATAAATAGAGGGATACACCACCCTCCTAAATTAATATATTTAATAACTATAGCCTATTTATAGTTACTAAGCTAGACAGACTTTGCTTTACTATATCAATTAGTATATATTACTACTATTAATATAGTGATTATACCTATTATAAAGCTAATTGTATTAAAATTATATAGGTCCCCCTCTTAGATGCTATACTTACCTATTATATTACATAATAGTGCAAACTATTTTGATATAACCTTAGGATCTTCTTAAAAAGCCCTTTAATAATTATATAAACAATTAAACTTAGTTTTCAGAGCAAGCTGTAAGTCCATAAACTGCCTAGCCTATTACTTACTAATAGGCTTACTATTATACACTTATAGCAGGAGATTAGCTATATCTTCCACACTAGTAAGGTGTAAAGGAAATCGTCTAAAATCCTATTTAATAATATATTAGAGAAGTATTTTCTCTTTAATTAGATTAAGTTTATATTATTAGGGTTAGGTATATTCATATTAGGGTTAATCGTTTATTCTATAGCATATAGAACTTTAAGGGATATTATAAGTCTTCACAGCATATAACATATTTAGCTTTCAGCTGGCAACATAGGCTGATTAGATCGCCTTAATAGCTAGAAGTATCTTATCTTCTTATATATAAATTGGCATAATAGTTGCAGGGTTATTACGCGTTAAAGTTTTAAGTGGTTTGGTGCAAACTGCGTTTAGGAAAAAGTTTGTTGCTGGCTGATATTTATTGCTGACTGATAAACCATGTTACCCTTCTTTGTTTTATTTATCTTCTTAACTTTTTAAAGCGTTTTATTTATAATATAAGAGCGTATTAAATATAGCTATAAAATAGCCTAGTTAGTATTCTAAAAAAAGATCATATTTTAAAAGCTGCTCTATTTAGTATTTTTAGCGTTCTATTAAATGCTACTTTTATATAAAATATTTAAAGCCTTTATAATTAGTTAAAACCTAAAATCTAAAATAGCTTTTTAACTTTATATCTTATATATTTAAATATATAATTACTACTAATAACTTCTTATTATAAATTAAGTAGGTATGTTAAGCTAAAATTAGTTTCTATAAATAGAAAGTAATAGGATATTATTATCCTTATAAGTCTTCTTAAGTTAATGCTCTTTTTAGTATAAACCTTAAGTAGTCTATCTTAATACTTATTAAAGCTTATAAGTTAAAATAATATAACATTAACATAATTTAAACGTATTATTTAAGCGTTTAGAATATATCTTTTTATTCTTTACTTTAAATAAATAAAACTTCTTTCTTTATAAAGAAGGTAAAAAGCTTTATAACCTCTAAGTATTTTAATATAAATATTTAATAGTAACTAGTAAACTTAAAGAAACTCTATAACCTTTTTACAAAAATAAATACGTTTTATTTAATAATTGCTTATACTTTCTCTATATTACAAGTAATATTTTTACTTACTTTAAGGATAAACCTTATATATTTCACTATTTTAATAGAGAATTTATGTTTTATTAAG